ATTTCTTCAGCTGTGAAATGACAGACATTAAAAATGTTTTATATGCTTGGTGTGGAAAGAAAAAATGCGTTCCTGAATATGAATTTAGTTGTGTTGGCCCTAAACACAAACAGCGATTCAAGTGTGAGGTACGAATATATTTATATATACTGATGTCCAAAAGAAAGTATACACACTAAAAGTATGACTAAGTTTTGTTTAGATTAAAAACATTTGATAAAGCATTACTGAGTTTGTCTCTTGCGTCCAAACTCAACATTTCTGAGCAAAATAAAAATGTGAAACAAATTGACATTCTACCCTAATACCGATACCATGGAAAAACTACTTTGGTTGATGCAGCACAAAATGCACAGTGTATACTTTCTTTTGGACATTAGTATAGTTGTCATGTTTCTGTAAGCACCGTTTATAAATTCTTGATACCGTGAGATGCGGTAGCTCAAGGAGCAAGGCATTAAGCAGAAGGTTTTGTGTTCACTCTTAGTGATGGCAGAGAAAGTCCATCTGGGTTTTCCGACATGGTTTCCCCTTGTCAATTGTGTAGGATAGTAGGCCAGTCAATGAACAGTAGCTAGTCATTTCATTTTTATTCTATTTCTTGTTCATTAAACCTCATTTCATTTGTATTTTAGGTAAGAGTGGAAGGATTGGACTATGTCGGAGTTGGTAATTCCACCAACAAGAAAGATGCTCAGGCCAATTCTGCAAAAGATTTTTGCCAGCATCTTGTACGGCAAGGGCAAATGGCTGCTTCAGAAATACCAGACAGTTTGGTACGTTTTCGAAAGAATGCTACTTAAGATTATTTGTTCTAATAATTCCCTGAAAGAGAATATACAAACTTTTGCTATAAGATCCCCAATTAAATACTTTGGGAGGGTTTTCTTAGACTACTTTTCTATTTCTTCCTCTGTGCTAAAGAGCAGAGTTTGCAAGCAGTGTTAGTTCTATAACTCTCAGTATAATTTTTTTTTTTTTTTTTTGTTTACTTACAGCCTCCAAGTTTGATGGGTGCTGATCCTCGAGCGAGTAGGGGAGAAGCAGCACCACTACCCGGTGGAAGGCAAGCACCACATATTGGTCTTGGTTTAGGTAGGTATTTTATAGCTCTGTTTTTTTTTAATGACAGAGCCACCAATATGGCTTACTGAATATGGTGTCTCACCATTCATGATTTTTTTTGATTTTTTTTTTGCATATCTGCTGTCGTTTGGAAAAAGCAAAGTCCTTTGTTTACAATTGGATCGTGTGACAGTTGAAAATGATAATTATGAACTGGCCATATTGTTGCTGTCCTAGCAAAATTTCTCTCATAACAAACCTTAATGTGTATATATGCCCATCTCCATTAGTCAGGTTTGCGCAGACAAATAAGAGAATAAACCCTGTTAGCCTTTATTGTATTCATAATCATAATATTTACTGTTACTAACCTTATATAAATATGTATTTGTACATGCACAGTGTTCAGGGCGGGAAGAGACACTTCCACCTAGAGGATTTGGGAAGAGAATATGGCATCGACCTCTCTGTATTATTAGTTAATAAAACAGTTTAGTAATCAGTGATTTGAGTGTCAACAAACTCCATTTCATTTTCTTTTAATCATCTGGTAGATTTCCTGCGCTTATTTTTATTAATTGATGTGTTACCAATATACCCTTGGCTGAATGGTCTGTCGTTGAGTCAAGTGGCGTGATTTTGATTCTCCGCTTGTACATGACAAGGAATGGAGTTGCCTGTCCAACCTCGTGGGTTTTGTCCGGTTTCCTCTCTCTGCCAAAGACCTCTATGTGCAAGCGAATTATTGAAATAAAATTGAACCATGTGTTAGTCTGTGTTAAGCCTGTACCTTAAACCCCATTTCTCCGATTACTCTGCATCAAGTTAATTTTTGGAATGAATTTCAGGTGGTCAATCATCTGAAGCCCCACCAGGACCGCCAAGAGAATTCCCACGATATGAACGTGGCCCACCTCAAGAATACCTTGATCGCTTGGCTGATGAAAGAAGAGTAGCAGAGGTAATTGATTATAGTACATTGTATGTATACTAGTGTTGAAAATCGGATCGAGATTTGTGATCCGAATACTTTTGTTGGCTATCCGAATACTATTTGGAGACGTGAAATTCTTGAACACAATTACATCAAAAGTTCATATACCGGTACTCATAATTTCTTACTTGTTTCAATGTTTATGAGTGTCTGTATGCCGAGTATGAAATCGTACTTTCGATTTGCAAATTGTTTGAGCCGCGAAGAAAAAAACGTGCCTACCTTTAGCCGTAATTATTAAGACTATCTATGACACCGGTCTGACATCCCAAAAAATCAATGAGGTGAAGGAATTTGTATAGTATAACTACTCCTGTTATCCGCACCCTCCCACTTATCATTTTGCTCAATCAACACGAATGAAAAAAGTAAAATAAACCCATGTGCCATTTATTCCGGCAAGGTCATTTGCCTCATTCTGATAATCTACTACTATTGAACCAATCAGTGAGTGGGAATATACGTGACCTAGGTCGTAATGAATACTTTTCATTGTGGGAAGTCAAAACACAGTCTAAACTCGTATGCCGTAAACTAGCGCAGGGAATGAATGAATATTTTTTTTTATTTAGACTACTGTTTTCGTTGCACTGCATTAATAATTTTATTAGTTACTATCACTAAATAATACGCATAATGTTGACATTTATGCTCATGGAGCTGTGTACGTGATCAATTGCATTGGGGAAAATTTCAAAGTGATCAGACGTAAAAATGGCTAAATATAGAGCATACGGAATGTCAGAATATATTGTAACGAATAGTAAACGGATAGTAAAATGATTCGGATAACCCTTATTTTGTATCCGTTAACGAATATTCGAATAGTAGTTTCAACACTAATGTATACATCAAATCGTTCGGATTGAACGAAAAACCTAGATCCCTTTGGCGAGCATGTAAAAGATGGAATTTGATATAAGAGTAGGCCACTGTCCAGGCAAAATTTCGTCATAGCACACTGTGTTGCATACATCCGTCTTCATTAGCCCAGAGGGGGTTGGATGGCTGAATGGTTAGCGTGCGCGCGCTGTATCATAAAGTCTGTCATTGAGTCGACTGGCGTGGTTTCGAATCCCCAGTTGTACGTGGCAAGGAGTAGGGTCGCCTGTCCAACCTCGTGAATTATGTAAATAAAATTAAACCATATGTTAGTCCCGAAATGACATAGTTTGTGTCAAGTGGACGTTAAACCCCATTTCTCTCTCTCTCTCATTAGCCCAGTCGGTGAATTATTGTGTAGATGAAACATTAAACCCTTTTCTGTTTATAAAGACTGAATTATTGTGTGAACGACACATTAAACAGGCATTATACAAGAGCTAAATCTGCCTATTCTGTTTATAAAGACTGAATTATGGTGTGAACAACATATTAAACAGGCATTATACAAGAGCTAAATCTGCCTATTGCAGGTCTTTTTTTAGGTCTGAAATGTTATATGAATTGATAATTAGATATTAATTAACAAAACAAGACTATAATCAACTCTCGATGCCATCCGATACTTTATATTTTTAATGGATTTAAATACGATTTGCGGTTGATGATTTAACATAAAAATAGATAATCAAGACTTTGTTTATTATCAGTAATGACAATTGACGCAACACTAATTGTATCGGCGATAACATGGCTCAGAGTGAAGTAATATGACTGAAATTTTCATCATATTCCCCTTTTCATTATCTATTTTTTCACCATTATAGCGAGAACTGTCGGCTCTTTATCTAATCTTACATAATGTCCCTTTAAACCTCTTTCCATTTGTTTGAACTTGAGTTTATGTAATAAAGTTGTTTATGGTCACCTTGTTTAAACTTGAGTTTATGTAATAAAGTTGTTTATGGTCGCATTGTTTTAACTTTAGTTTATGTAATAAAGTTGTTTATGGTCACATTGCTTAAACTCTAGTTTATGTAATAAAGTTGTTTATGCTCGCATTGTTTTAACTTTAGTTTATGTAATAAAATTGTTTATGGTCACATTGTTTTAACTTTAGTTTATGTAATAACATTATTTATGGTCGCATTGTATTAACTTTATATAATAAAGTTATTTATGGTCGCATTGTTTTAACTTTAGTTTATATAATATAGTTGTTTATGGTCACATTGTTTAAACTCTAGTTTGTGTAATAAAGTTGTTTATAATCTGATTATTTGTTTCAGTCTGAAGATGTAGATTTAAATGCTGACCTGCATGGAAATTGGACGTTAGAAAATGCTAAAAGTCGCCTTCATCAATTTATGCAGATGAATAAAATTCAGTCTGATTATAAATACAGCGTTGTTGGACCCGATCATAACAGGTATACATATAGGCTTCATTTCATTTTAATCTATATAGGGTGCAACTAAGTATGGTTTCATGGTCGAGAGCAAGACATTAAGTAATATATTGATATTGGACGAGGCGTCGGCCGAGTGTTGTTTCAATATATTACGCTATCTCGTTAGCTCCAGACCATTAAACAACTTAAAATACAGACACTATCCCACACATGCTTTTCAATGAAATACGTCACGCGAGTCCAATACTTCATCTAGTATAGATGATGTACAATTGGCAAGTTGCCTGTACATTATTGGAAATAATGGTACGCCAACATCAAAGGATGACGTTACATCTGTATTTTAATTCATGTTAGTCGGCATATAGGGTGCAGTTAATTCATGTTAGTAGGCATATACATGTAGGGTACAAATTATGTTACGCCTACATAGGGTGCAATTTATGTTGGTCTACATAAAGGAGGAAATTCCTATTAGTCATCATGATGAAAGCTATTTATAGATTATACAACATACAGTTTGTTTTTGCACAAAGACACATTGTTTTTCATGTTCAGTAAAAAAAGAAACTATGCTTCACTAACTTTGAAAGTTTGTGTGTGGCATTTGCTTTTTTGGGGAGGGGGAAAAGTGTAAAATTTTACACAGCTTCATCTATACTAAAGAGTACTCAAATGCAATCAATATATTAACAGTAAACTTGAATTCAGTTAGATTTTTTAAAAAAACGCACATCAAAAGATTTTAGCTAGGATTACAGGTGACATGTAATCAAGGATACAGAATGTTAACAAATTTTCAATTCAGCAAATCTTTGTATACAAAATTTAAGAGATTCAACTTTCACAATATTGCAAGTTTCAGGTACCTTAATCCCACAAGTTACATTATAAACTTGGACCAACACAGAGTTTCTTCCAATTTAAGTTAAATTTAATCCCAGTTAATTCCAGATGTGTACCATGTCATTTGTGTACAACACTCCTTTTAAACTTTTTGATCCATGCCAAGTTTTATAGAAACGTTTTTAAAGACTTGCTTTTTTAATTCATTGTTTGTTATTATTATTTTATTTTCGTATGTGGTTGCTTTCTGTTGTTGATGTGCCAGATATACAGTGTAAAATGTGACAGGACGTACTACAGGTTCCTTTTTTTCCAGGCTTGGAAATGGACATAGATCCTTGAAATATAGATTAATTTCATCATTCAATATGTATTAGCTTTATTTTAGTTGAAACTGTCTTCAGTTCTTCATATAGATATGAATTCAGTTTAAATTTTACATTATTTTTATGGTCTATTTTGCCAAGGAACCTAAACTGGTTTTGAAAAGTTTTTAAAACTGGTTTTGGTTCGAGAAATGTTGCATTATCCAAGGCTCTTTCAAATAGTAGTATTTCTTCAGATTTACTTTACATTAATGCTAAAAAATTTATTAGTGAGATATGCTAACAATTGTTTTAATATCTTGAAAAGAAAGGACAATTCTTTTGATAGATAAGTTCAAGTTTTCATTTCGCATCAAATGACTTGAAAAGAATTGATTTAGCCAGAAATTCTGTTTATATACATGATTCTGTTAGAGATATTATAGCCATTTGAAACAAAAAAGTATTATTATTTGAAAGAGAAATGATTTTAATGAACAAAACACAACCAGAATATCTTGTTTGTAGACAGACATCTTGAAATGATGAAAGGATTGTTAAAATATCCGAACAATCTTCCATCATGAAAATAATATAGATTGTCAACATTTTCACAAAGTCGAATAGATTCCTAACTCAACAGACAAGGACAAATGTATTCAATCCCAAAATTACCAAAATCCCTGAATGGTAGCCAATTTAAAATATTTGAACAAATATCTTCTTGAGTTGAACATTTTCAAAAAGCGTAAATCAAATGTTTACATTTAAATAGCAAATTAGAATTTCGATTGGAACAAACTAAGTACAAACCTAGCAATAAAACTTGTGAGAAACAATACATACCCTTTTTAGTGAAATCACTAAAGAAGTTATGGTGGATTTTGTGAACAGAAAATGTTGACTTTGAAATCTCGGGATGTTTGTCTACAGAAAGATTTTGGTTCCATCTGGAAGCCATCCCTGAATCGGGAAGCGAAGGTAAGAAACTGTGTACAAAGTTAGTATTGCATTTATGGTAATATTCATCTTTTATAGCTCTGTCTGGTAGATTTCTGTTATTAACATTATTTTAAAGTGATATGTTATAAATTATATAAAAATGTTTGCTAAATTGCACTTAATAGATTACTTTGCAGTTGAACTCTAATAAGATGGAGTATGTAGAGAAACAGCTGCCATGGCAAAATTCCATGTAACGATGGAAGAAGTGAATATGCAATTCTTTTTATCTACCTTGGCAGTTGGAATTCGATATGACAGTAGGTCGTAGTGCAGCTGTCCAGGCAAGATTTCCGTCAAAGATCACTGTATGGCATATGCCCGTCTTCATTAGTCCAGTTCGGAGCAGAACAGTAGGACAATTCATTTGTACACAGGACCTCGGTTTTCTTAGGAAACAAAAATTCCCATACATTTATTTGAAATCAGAAAATAAAATATCAGTCCAAATAACCTTTAAGAATTATTCAAATTCAAAAAAATAATGTGAGCCCACTTGACAAGACCTAAAATCCCTTACACTTGTATTCCTATTTTTTTGTGATTCTGACGTTATTTTACTTTGTTTTATTGCAGGAGTTTTTTGTGTGAAATGAGTTTTTTTGTGAAGAAGTTACGACAAAGTAAGTGTAATCATTTTGTAAATCTTTTCAACTTCTCTGAAATAATTTGGAAAATTGGAGATTTTACTTTAAATTCATTGTTTAATAATAATATGTAAACTTTTAGCACTTGGTATCTTTGTAAATCATTACTTTCCCGCTAGTTGAAATTGACACTTGTACATTAATTTTCGTAGCTCATTTTCGAAACCGTCCATAAATAGTTCACTAATATTCACATAATTCAAATGGTTTGAGATCTAAAGGGTTAAGAGAATGTAGGTTCTTTCACTTGTCTGTAGGTTTTTCTTTGTTTTACTCCCTCCATACCTTTCTTGTAACATACATGCAACCTTGATTCTTTGGTGAAATTGGAGTGTCCAGTACAGGGGGCTTGGATGGCGCAATGGTTAGCGTGTGCGCGCTGAATCATAAGGTCTGTCATCGAGTCAACTGGCGTGGTTTCGATTCCCTGGTTGTACGTGACAAGGAGTAGGGTCCTCTGGTTTTCTCCCACTGGTACAGACCTCTATGTGCAAGGAAATTATTGAAATAAAAGTGAACCATATGTTATTCCCGAAATGACCTATTTTGTATCTAACTGCCTGTTAGATAAGTCATTGGGTCAAAGGGGGAGGTTTTGCTTCCCAGATTGTATGTTAATCCCGAAATAACCTAGTTTGTGTCGAGTAGATGTTGAACCCCATTTCTCTATATATATATTTATATATTGTAGATATTCATTCTAAAGAACATGGTTCAAATAAACAAGTAGCATCCAAGTCATGTGCTCTGTCACTAGTTAGACAACTGTATCATATGAAAGTTATAGAAGCTTATACAGGGGAGAAACGAAAGAAAGATGCAGAACAGGTAAAAGATACATTTATATACTTAAAATCATGATGTATTTATATAAACTCCTGCCATTGACTATAGGGGGGATCACTGTGTCTAAGTGGATAAGACGCTGGCTCGCTAGCCTGGAGGTCGTATGTTCGATCCCTGCATTGGCCGAGAAAGTTCATCCAGATTTTCTGGCATGGTTCTCCCTTGTCAGTGATGCAGGACGGAGGGCCTGACAAGGACAGCTGTCTAGTCGTTTGGATGGGGTGAAAAACCGAGGTCTCGTGTACACATTGCTGTGCACGTAAAAGATCCCTTGACAGTTGGAATTCAGTATAAGAGTAGACAGTAGTGCAGCTGTCCGGGCAAAATTTCCCTCATAGAACACTGTATGGCGTATGCCCGTTTTCATTAGCCCAGTTCGGAGCAGAACAGTAGGACGTTAAACTCCATTTCATTTCATTGACTATAGTAAGATAGTTTGTACATAAGTGTCTACACAACATGGAGCAATCACAACAAGCAGCAAACACAACGTGGAGCATGTGACGTTAAACGCATTTGAGAAAAGCAAACCAGTACTTTTAGAAAAATTGGAAAGAAAAATTTTAAGTTATATCAAGTGATTAATTTAATTTTAGATTCCACCATATGGAATTGTATCAAGTGATTTATTATCTTTTAGATTCCACCATATGAAGTTGTGTCAACAGAGGAATTAGAACAACAAGTGGATGAAGTTTTAAGAAAATGGAGTATAGATCCAACGACACAGGTTCGTTAAAACAGACACCTGGTGTCTTCTACCACGAAATAGCTTCTTGATCCCCTAGGGGAGTTAGGTGGCCAAATGGTTATGGTCTGTCATTGAACATGTCAAGGGGTAGGGTCACCTGTTCAACCAAGTGAATTATTCAAATAAAAATTGAACCATATGTTAGTCCTGAAATGACCTAGTTTGTGTCGCGTGGATGTTAAACCTCTTGATCCCCTGGCTAAAGTTGTAAATAGTAATATAGTAGATCGTAGCGACACTGTGTGAGTAATATTTATCTCAGAATACACGGCATGACATTATATCTTTCTTTATTAACTCAGTGGTGCAGAGCACCATTAAAGTTGATTTCATTTTTTTTAAACTGTCATTCGATGGAGGACGGAGGGCTTGACAAGGACAGCTGTCTAGTCGTTTGTATGGTAAGAAAAACCAAGGTCCCATGTACACATTGGTGTGCCTAGGGCTGGGTATCGATAGTGATTTTTACTATCGATAATCGGCAATGAAATGTTGGTCGATAATCGATAGTATCGAAAACAAACTTATTTTCACGGTCGTCATCAAGACTGGATACAGTGACAGTGTAAGCTCAAAGTTCAAAACCATACGAAGTTGCGAAAGATCGTTTGCTCCTGTCTAAGGAGATTTATTTGGAAAACATTAATAAAACTTGTTATATCACGTATATATACGTAAATTGATGTTGTTTATTATTAAAATAATGCAGCTGTGGTTCCGAATGAAGAAATATCGTAAATAATTATGTTAAGGGACCAAAATGAACATGTTCCGATTCAAAACATTTCGTACGTGCGTGCGAAAATATCAATATGGCAGACGAATTCTGAAGCTTGCAAAGGGAAATAACTCTAACTTTGTTTACACATCCGGGTATCTCCGATTTAGCGATATTCAACAATAATTTCTTCAAAACTAAAGTAACGTTTCAATGAGAGTGAATTTATGAAAACGGCTGTTTAATAACCAGTCACAATTTTGTTATGTGTTACATTGATACTTGATAGTAATTAAAGTGAGCGGTGTATTATGATTAACATTGACATTTCAGACGCAAAGAAAAATAGACGAAGAGCGATAATCGAGAGTAACCCACCGCTATCGATAGTGCTTTTCTGGGCCGTCCAATCGATACTATCGATTTATATCGATATTTTACCCAGCCCTAGGTGTGCCCGTTAAAGATTCCTTGACAGTTGGAATTCGATATAAGAGTAGGCTGTAGTGCCGCTATCCGGGCAAATAGCACACTATGACGTATGCCTGTCTTCATTAGCCCAGTTCGGAGCAGAACAGTAGGACGTTAAATCCCATTTCATTTCATTTAAACTGTCATTCGCATATTAACTTGTTTTAATTATATTTCATTTTTGTTTTTGTCTGTTTTGATAAATAAATCAGTAGCTGTTTTCCATAAGTATGTTTATAGTTTATTTATCTTTCTTATTTGATATATTAGCAGGGACATGGTAATAATGAGGAAGGAACAGGAATGTCTCTCTTGTGTCCTCTTTCTTTAGATGAATTTGAACCAGCTCCAAAACGAGGGGGATCAGGTGTTGTCTCTTGGTCACCCCCTCAACCCAATTGGAATCCTTGGACTAACTGTAACATTGATGAAGGTCCTCTAGCATCGGTGAGTAAGATACCCTCCCTCGTAATAATGACTTGTATTATAACTATAGACAATCTAAGCTTAAAACCATTCTTGTGCAGGGGAGTAAACAAGGTTAAATAAACTTCCAGACTATTGTCAGAAGCCGCTCTGACAGGCTATAAAATAATACCAGCATTTGTCGGGAATAGCTCATGAAGGGTTAATTCACTGTGACAGTGTGAGTCATTATTTGTATCTTTCAGAAAGAATTGACATTCCATGGCTTGATCCATGTCCTTGAATTGTTCATTTATCATTCAATTAAGGCAACAAAATCGAAACATCATCAGTAGATAATCTTATGCAGACATATTTGAAAAATCATCTGCAATAGAGGTTGAAATTTTACAAATTTTGAAATAACCATATTTTGTAAATATAATGTGAGTGTAAATCTCATGGTTGTAGGTGACAGAGAACATGCTTAACTACCTAAACTGATGGGATGCCTTCAGTTCCTCCTTCTACTAAAAATGAGCTCTGCAGAGTGGACAGTAACAAATTGTAAAAATTATATCTCCAATAATTAGTTTTCAATATGTCTGAAGATGAAAAAGTTATATTAGAGATAAGTCACGGAATCATGCAATCTGATTGAAATACAGATTTATATTTGTTTAGTTTTTTTTATACTTTCGATAGCCTCTACTACATGATGATCTGACCAGTTGTATTGGGAGGTCGTGTCAGGGGTCATATGAGGGGCTTTTGACCCTATGATGTCAGACATTAGATTAACCAATCAGCGTTGATGTTTCTAGTAGGATACCCACAGTTCTGTGCATCGCACGTCAAGAACTTGCTGCAACAGACCGTTTCCTTGGCTAATCCGTCACATCAACCGAAACGGTGGTAATATAACAACTCTTCCAGAACCTAGTGTAGTAAAGACAAGTAAAACGAAATTTTAAACTATAAAAAAAATGAAACGAAATAGGATCTGTGTTTTGATCAGATTGGGAATGAATGAAACTATATTTCAGGCATCAATGGAGCAGATAAGCGAAGACTTGTACAACAACTTAGAAAGACAGAAAAATGAAGATTCGGTTTTACAAAAGGTACAAGAAAATATAGTTTAACATAAAAATATTAAATTCACTAGTATCATTTACTAATTTCACTCTACTGGTTCCTTTCATGATTGAAACTTGTCCTTGCTTGACGGCTGATTCTTCTGAAACCTCTTACATTATATTCCGTTTGTTCGTTCCTGGATTTTTACTTCCACTTCCACCAGGTGTGTGTGTGTGGGGGGGGGGGGTCATTGAGTGATTTCAATTCCCAGCTTGAACGTGACAAATAGTAGAGTCGCTTGTCCCGCCTCATGGGTTTTCTCCGGGTCCTCCAGTTTCCTCCCACTGCTAAAGACCCCTACGTGCAAGTGAATTATTGAAATAAAATTGAACCATGTGTTAGTCCTGAAATGACCTAGTTTGTGTCGAGTGGACGTTAAACCCCATTTCTCTCTCTCGTTCATTCCTGGAGTTTTACGTCCACCAGGTGTGGGGTGGGGGGGATGTCATTTGAGTGGTTTCGATTCCCAGCTCGAATGTGACAAGTAGTAGAGTCGATTGTCCCGCCTTATGGGTTTTCTCTGGGTCCTCAGTTTTCCTCCCACTGTATGTTTAAATATGTATGTTGTTATATAATTGTAGATGATGGAAGAGAGAGGAAAATTACCTGTATCTAATACACATGATCATATATTACAAGCTATCAATAAATCACCTGTTGTTATTATACGAGGTGAAACAGGATGTGGTAAAACTACACAGGTAATATCACTTTCTAACCCAGTATTATATATGTCATTCTTATTAGTACCGTGGGGGGAGGGGGGGTCTAGTGGTGTAATGCTTGCACTTTCTAATTAGTTTTCAACCCAGTATTATATATGTCATTCTTATTGGTACCGTGGGGGGGGGGGGTGTCTAGTGGTGTAATGCTTGCACTTTCTAATTAGTTTTCAACCCAGTATTATATATGTCATTCTTATTAGAACCGGGGGTGGGGGGGGGGTTTGTATGGTGGTGTAATGCTTGCACTTTCTAATTAGTTTCGAACCCAGTATTATATATATCATTCTTATTAGAACCGGGGGTGGGGGGTCTAGTGGTGTAATGCTTGCACCTTCTTATTAGTTTCCAACCCAGTATTGTATATGTCATTCTTATTGGTACCGTGGGGGGGGGGGGGGGGTCTTGTGGTGTAATGCTTGCACTTTCTAATTAGTTTCCAACCCAGTATTATATATATCATTCTTATTAGTCCGGGGGTGGGGGTCCTAGTAATGTAATGCATGCACTTTAGATCAGAATGTGCTAATATATGTCCCTGATCCTTTGGTTTCCTCCGACTGCTAAAGAAAACTGCATACAAGCCAATTTGTGAAATAAAAATTGAACCATATGTTAGTCCCAAAATGACTCGATGACGTAGTTTGTTTTTAGTGGACATTATACACCTATCCTACCCTGGATACATTAGATTATGTTTTGTTAATCATATCGTTTTGTTGGTTTTTTTCCAGATACCCCAGTTTATATTGGATCAGATGATAAATCAAGGACGTGGATCAGATTGTAATATAATTGTCACACAGGTAATATTGTTGTCAAACAGGTAATATAGTTGTCAAACGAGCACAATTGATATTATGTAATTTGCAGTACGATTTTTTTGATATATCCGCAAAGTGGCTGAAAATTGTTTCTCAAAGAAGCTCTTTCAAGACAAAATTGTTTTGATAGTACCCTTTTATCCCACAATAAAGGAAGTCAAGGGAGGGATATCAATCATTGGTTTTATTCTAAAAGCATGACATTTCGACAAGTATCTTCTCTTCATTATTAAGCACAATGACAATTAGCAAACGTGAGGTCACAATAAGAAAAAGTAAAAACGGTATAAGAGCCCACGAAAAATGACAAGATAATTGAGATACTAAAAAAAAAACATTGTAACTAAAGAGTAATAATTAACCAGAATAATAATTATAATTAACTAGTTGCAAGGACCATTAAATGATACCATAGGTTAACAAAGTAAAGTTGATACCATAGGTTAACAAGGTAAAGTTGATACCATAGGTTAACAAGGTAAAGTTGATACCATAGGTTAACAAAGTAAAGTTGATACCATAGGTTAACAAAGTAAAGTTGATACCATAGGTTAACAAAGTAAAGTTGATACCATAGGTTCCCAGTTTACAGGTAAATTTTGTTTTCTTAATTCAGCCTAGAAGAATTAGTGCTGTGTCTATAGCTGAGAGAGTTGCCAGTGAAAGAGCTGAAAATCTGGGTTTATCGACTGGCTACAGCGTTAGATTTGAGACAGTTATACCCAGACCGTATGGTTCCATTATGTACTGTACTGTTGGTAAGTAGACAAGATTATCCTGTAATGTTCTATTGCATTTGTGTGATGTTCGGAGGTTGAGAGGTCTAACATGTCAATTTAAGATCATTTGAGGATACATTATTCAAGAGCTAAATCTGCCTATTGCAGGTCTTTCTTTAGGCTTTAGATGTTTTATAAATTATTAATTAGACATTAGTTTATTAACATAACAAGACCATAATCAATTATCGTGCCATCGTATACACAAGATTTTAACTAGATTAGAACGGTTTGGCCATTTAATGATTTAATTTAAAAATTGGGAAGTGAGGCTAAGCCTCGAATATACTGGTACATTGGTTATGATAATACACAATCAATGCACACATCTTGTCAAAACTATAAACAGTGATAACTTTGCTCAGAATAATGTAATTTGAATGACATTTTCAATATATTCATTTTGTATTATCTATTTTTAAATTATTATAGCAAGAAAGGTCAGCTCTTTATCTAAATCTTACATAATGTATCTTTAACTATTATAGCAAAAACGACCAGCTCTTTATCTAAATCTTACATAATGTATCATTGAGCCTTGTGGCTTGGTTTCGATTCAAAGCTTGTATGTGAAAGGAGTATTGTTAACTACCCATCCTTGTGGGGTTTTTTCCAGGTCCTCTGGTTTCCTCCCACTACCAAAGACCCCTATCCTAGAGCGAATTGTTGAAAAATTTTTTTACAGTGTTATTCCCTGACTTACGTTGTTTGTGTTGAGTGGATGTTAAACCCCATTTCTCACTCACACAGTTTATACCTGTCTTTATGAGCCTGGATGTTGTAGACAAGTAGGTTGTTAAATAAACCCAATTAATTTCTTCCATATTCCAGGAACTTTATTACGAAGATTAGAGAATGGATTAAGAGGAATATCTCATGTTATTGTTGATGAAATTCATGAGCGAGATCTGAATGTGAGTAACAAAATTGTGGCAGATTATCGAAAAGCCTGTTCGATCCCTGCATTAGCGGAGAAAGTTCATCCAGATTTTCCGGCGTGGTTCCCCCTTGTCAGTGATGCAGGACAGAGGGCCTGACAAGGACAGCTGTCTAGTCGTTCGGATGGGACGAAAAACCGAGGTCCCGTGTATATATTGGAATGCATGTAAAAGACCCCCTGGCAGTTGGAATTCGATATAAGAGTAGGCGATAGTGCCGCTGCTCAGGCAAAATTTTCCTCATAGCACACTGTATGGCGTATGCCCATCTTCATTAGCCCAGTATAGGAGCAGAACAGTAGGACGTTAAACCCCATTTCATTTCATTTATCGAAAAGCCATTTTCATAAATTCACTCTCATTTAAATGTTACATTTTATAATTTACGTTTATATACATGAAATAACTAGCTTTATTTAAACATATATTATGCAAGAGCTAAATCTGCCAATTGCAGGTCTTTCTTTAGGCCTGAGTGGGTTTTCTCCGGGTCCTCCGGTTTCCTCCATCTGCTAAAGACCCCTACCTGCAAGCGAATTATTGAAATAAAATTAAACCATATGTTAGTCCCGAAATGACCTAGTCTGTGTCGTGTGGACGTTAAACCCCATTTCTCTCTCTCGCTCTTTCTTAGGCCTGAAATGTTATCTAAATTATTAATTAGACAATTAACTTATCCAGACCATAATCAACTCTCGATGTCATCGCTAGCCTGCGATAATTACTGGATTATAATCCGATCTGCTGCTCAATGCTCATTCATGATTAAATCAAAAAATGGATAATCGAGACTATGTTTTTTATCGTACCGACTTTAGTATTGATGATCGAGGCTAGGCCCAAAATTCAATCACTAAATTCTCGATTCAGAGTGGATCAATTTGACTGAAATTTTCAGCAAATTCCCTTTACATTATCTAATATTTAACCATTATAGTGAGAACTGCCAGCTCTTTATCTAATCTCCCATAATATATCTTTAATGTATTCCATAATCTGTCTTTCACAACTCGTGTACTTTTGAACTTTGACAAGCTTGACCGTGTATGGATGGACATTTCATTGCCGCTAATTGCTAGTAAAAAGAACTATCACACCCAGGCCTTTTGCTGGCCATTTGAATTTCTTCCTCTCAGGAATTTTTTTTACTCAATTTGACGAAGATGTCGGCAACCTGGATTTTCAATGTTTGCTTTCTCTTACAGACTGATTTCTTATTGGTGATGTTACGTGACATGGTTTTTGCTTTCCCACAACTGAGAGTAGTTCTCATGTCTGCTACAGTTGATACATCTTTGTTTGCCGAATATTTCGGTAATTGTGATGTTGTGGAGGTTTATGGTAGAGCTCATCCAGTTCAAGGTAATTCATTCCATCAAGTATTCTAGTCTGGAAATAAGGCATCAGTGACAGACATAGGCAGACACAATTTGATTCCTTGTCAGGCACAGTCCCTCTTGTCATTTGTTTGGAATTGTTTGTCTTTATTTTTTGGTGTTTTTATTGACACATGTCCAGCATAAATTTCAAATTGTCAGGCGCATGTCCAGAAGTGGGAGGGGGTCTATGGTGTCCAGGCGCGCCCCTGCAAACGCATAGCATATTTTTCTCTCCTAGATTCATGGAAACAACATAAAATAAAAACAAACTAAAGTGCAAAGTATTTCGGCCGTTTTGGCTTACTCCACTGTAATTCTATACATGTATGCACCTAAATGAGCAAAAATATTGTCTCAAAGGTTTCTGATTTTATCAAATTCGCGGGCGTTGTCTCAACATGTCCCTGGATAGTTTAGATATTTAGTCCCAAAATGACCTTGTTAGTGTTGCTTGGTTGTTAAACGGTTAAACACCATTGTTCTCCCTCCCTATGCCAAATGCACAAAATGTTGTCACTTCAAGTCCAACCAGAAACCAGAACCATTCATGGCCTCTTTTTGGAGAGAAAAGTACCTGACATATGTAGGATTTCTGGTAATGATAATATTGTGATAAATGTTAAAAATTGGGCGGTTATATGGCCGAATGGTTAGCATGTGCGCACTGTATCATAAGGTCTGTCATTGAGTCAACTGACATGGTTTCGATTCCCTGCTTGTACATGACAAGGAGTAGGGTTGTCTTTCCAACCTCATGGGTTTTCTTCGGGTTAGAAATTTACAGCTTGGGTTCGTTTATATTTGTAGATTATTTCCTAGAAGATTGTGTTCAGATGTTGAACTTTGTCCCTCCTCCCCCGGATAGAAAACGTAAGAAAGGTGGGGGAGGAGATTCATCAGATCTGCCAGATGATGGAGAAAAAGAGGTGGGTAGAAAATAAACAGTATTTGGTTGCTCCTCTCAAAAACTTTGAGTTCTGAATTTTTAAACAAAACATGTGGGTGGGTGGCCGAATGGTTAACGTGTGCGCATTGTATCAGACGGTCTGTCATTGAGTCAAGTGACGTGGTTTCGATTCCCTGCTTGTACGTGACCAGAGGTAGGATTGCCTGTCCCACCTCATGGGTTTTCTATGGGTCCACCAGTTTCCACCCACTGCTAAAGACTCATACGCACAAGCGAATTATTGAAATAAAATTGAACCATATGTTAGTCCCTATATGACCTAGTTTGTGTCAAGTGGAAATTGAATCCTGATTATTAGAACATTATTGTCTTCTGAAACCGTACAGAATAAATCCCTCAGTTCAGAGAACCTGTTTACATTAGGCCAATCAGTACAGAAGTGTTGGACTTAAACCCCATTTCATTCATTAACAACTATCACTATGCCACCAATAAGTTTAAAATCATTTGGTGATAAAGCTTTTAATGTATATGGTCCACGGTTATGGATAGACTTACGAGCTGTGATGAAGTGTTCACAAACGATTGCTGTTAATCATATGTTCTTGAATTTCTATTTTCATTTTTGTTTTTTTTTTTTTTGTTTAGGAGAATTGTAATACACAGATCAGCAGTGACTATTCAGCCTCTACAAGAGCTGCCATGGAAATGTTAAATGAAAAAGAAATGTCTTTTGAACTTATTGAGGTAAAGCAATCAAAAAAAAAAAGGTTTCTAATAAATTTGAATATAAGGATGAAACTAGTTAAAAATATTCTAAACATGTACAAGTGTATTGATGATTTAGCATAAGTGCTGATTAGTTATTAAACCTATCTCTCTCTTGTAAGTAAATTGTTGTATTAATTATTATAAATGGTTTTTATTTTCAGGCTTTATTGAAATATATTAAACAACTGAATATTCCTGGTGCTGTGTTGATTTTCCTGCCAGGATGGAATTTAATCATGGCATTACAGAAATATCTAGAGATGAGTCCAGAATTTGGTAAATATCTCAAAATAAATATTTTTATTTACTGCTTGTTTTACACAGCTTTTACCTTCTTTGTGATTTCAAAAATAAAAACCTCGTGGGTTTTCTCCGGGTCCTCCGGTTTCCTCCCACTGCTAAAGACCCCTACGCACAAGCGAATTATGTAAATAAAATTAAACCATATGTTAGTCCCGAAATGACCTATTTTGTGTCGAGTGGACGTTAAACCCCATTTCTCTCTCTCTCAAAAATAAAAAAATATTTAATTTGACTAGAAATTTTGACTTAGTTTAACTCTTATGGGGAAAATTGTTCTAACAACAACTGGGAATTGTTTTCTTGGTCTCGGACATACAGTTATCCATACTAGTCATATCTACTGATTGACGATCTGATTAAAACATGGATCTTAATTTTATTTTTCACTCTAAATAGTTCTGAATAAATTGGGTGGGGGGGGGTTCCCGTCAAAGATCGTGAAGGTGAACATCGACTGAATGGTGAAAACTATTTATATTTTAACTTTTGATTTATTGTCTGTCGATCTATATAAGTGTCTTTCATAATTTAGTGCACAGCTTTTACTTGACGAAGCAGACAATTTAATAATTAACTAAAAACATCTTAACTAAACCGAACATTTCATCTAATAGAATGTGGTTAATATAAAACTCTTCCAGATCCGACTGTAGTGAAGAAAAATAAAATGAAATTTGAACTATAAAAATCGAAGTGTAATGGGCTCTGTGTTCTTTTTTGTCAGATCGACTGGTTGACAATATGTTTTCTGTAAACTTTTTCATTACTGTCAGCCTGTAATTTTATTTTGAACGGACGTAATAATTGAACTAATAAGCCATAAAGGAACATATTTTTAAATGATAAATGTATTTTAGGTCAGAAGAAATACAGGGTATTACCCCTACACTCACAGATTCCACGAGAAGATCAAAGACGTGTATTTGACCCTGTACCTCCAGATGTTACTAAGGTATTGTTTTAATTACCTCTACATGACATAATGTTGTTAAAGTGTCCTGAGGTCTTATTCACGATGGGTTAATGTGTCTGCGTTGCATTATTAGGTCTGTCATTGAGTAAAATGGTGTGGTTTTGATTCCCCGCTTGTACGTCACAAGGAGAAGAGATCGCCTGTCTAGTCCCGAAATGATCTAGTTTGTGTCAAGTGGACATCAAATCCCATCTCTCTTTCTCTCTCTCACAAAAGCTTAAACTAAACTATTTGAAAGATGCAGCCTTTTCATTAGCTAAAATCTAAAAAATTTACTAAGATTTTATTTATACTCAACCAATGAAAAGGCGGCATCCTTCAAATTGTGGGGGGTTGGATGGCTGAATGGTTAGCACGTGCGCGCTGTACCATAAAGTCTGTCATTGAGTCAACTGGCGTGGTTTCGAATCCCCGGTTGTACGTGGCAAGAAGTAGGGTCGCCTGTCCAACCTCGTGGGTTTTCTCCGGGTCCTCCGGTTTCCTCCCACTGCTAAAGACTCCTTACTCAAGCGAATTATTGAAATAAAATTAAACCATATGTTAGTCCCGAAATGACCTAGTTTGTGTCGAGTGGATGTTAAACCCCATTTCTCTCTCTCTCCCTTCAAATTGTTCAATTTAAGTTTTTCTGAATAAAACCTCTGACAACGTTTCACTCTAAGATTATGGTAGCTGGTAATCAGTTTATGCCAAATTCGACAAAAATTTCATGATTCTGATTTTTGTGATCTATTCAAAACGAAACCACTTCCTCTCAGCTCTTTAAAAGAAATCCTATTAGAAGCTGTAGTAACAAACCATGTTTTGATTTTGATTGATGTTATATTTTTTATCTATTGTAGATTATTTTATCCACTAATATAGCTGAAACAAGTGTCACTATTAATGATGTTGTGTATGTCATTGATTCCTGCAAGTAAGTAAAATCTTAAAATGATATCCAAGATTGCGTAGAATTAACTCTTTACGGTGACAATACACATATTAGCCAAGCCTATTTGGTATTTGAGCCACGATGGCTAAGTGGGTAAGACACTGGCTCATTAGCCCAAAAAGTTCATTGAGCTTTTTCAGCGTGGTTTCCCCTTGTTAGTGGTGCAGGACAGTGGGCCTAACAAGGATGGAATGAAAAACCGAGGTCTCATGTACACATTGGAGTGTTAGTAAAAGATCCCTTGGCACTTGGGATTTGATATAAGAGTAGGCTGTAGCGTCGATGTCCGGGCAAAATTTCCATTTTATCATGAAATGGAGAATCAAAACTGTTTTTTATCGTACCGACTTTAGTAATGATGATCAAGGCTAGGCCGAAAATTCAATCGCTAAATTCTCTTTCCAGAGTGGATATCTTACTGTGTATTACGAAGAATATAAGAATATGATAGGGATTATATTTTCTTTATTTGATATATATAATTCTCCTTTTTTAGAGCCAAAATGAAGCTTTTTACATCCCACAATAACATGACAAATTATGCTACAGTCTGGGCATCCAAGACCAACTTGGAACAAAGACGAGGACGTGCAGGTCGTGTTCGACCAGGTTTCTGTTTTCATCTGTGTAGTAGACCTAGATATGAAAAGTAAGTTTATTTATTTGGTAATATGAAAATGATGAGTTGCCAATTTGAATGTGAAAGTTACTCATGAGTGTGAAGCTTGCTCATTGACCAGGCCCCGAGTTCTCAAAGCATTCAGAATTTATTCAACTTTCAATTACTGTTTATGAGAGGAGGTCGGGTGTTCGATCCCTGCATTGGCCGAGAAAGTTCATCCAGATTTTCCGGCGTGGTTCTCCCTTGTCAGTGATGCAGGACAGAGGGGCTGACAAGGAAAGCTGTCTAGTCGTTCGGATGGGACGAAAAACCGAGGTCCCGTGTACACATTGGCATGCACGTAAAAGATCCCTTGGCAGTTGGAATTCGATATAAGAGTAGGCCGTAGTGCCGCTGCCCGGGCAAAATTTCCCTCATAGCACACTGTATGGCGTATGCCCGTCTTCATTAGCCCAGGTTAGGAGCAGAACAGTAGGACGTTACACCCCATTTCATTTCATTTCATTTCACTGTTTATGAGAAATATCTTTGATCCAGAAACACAAAAATTAGCACATAGTTTCTTATTTATCAAACTTTTGTCGTTTTAATATATCCAATCTATGTGCACATTTTTGTGTTTCTGGATCATAGATATTTTTCATAAACATTGATTGAAAGTTGAATAAATTTTTCTAAAGTTACATGTAAGTCTGAGAATGCTTTGTGAAATGGGTGCCAGGAGCTCCTCAAGGGCCTGGCAAGGAAAGGCGTGTAGTCATTCAGATGGGGTAAAAAGAAAAATTGAGATGTCGTATACATATTGCCATGTACATCAAGAAAACTTTGGCAGATGGAATTTCAATATGTGTAGCTATAGGCTGTGGCACTACTTTCACTTTTCTGCTCAAAATTAACCTCGTAGCACACTCACTGCAAGGCATATGTACGTCTTTTCTTGTCTGGTTGGTTCCGAAGAGTAGGATATTATTAAATCTTGATTCATTTATTTATATAACTGTCAGACTATGATTAACATATTGACAATATCTGGTGTTTAAAATAAATGGTGTAAAATTGTTCATATTATTGATATTTTCTTATAGATTAGATCAACACACAACCCCAGAGATATTCCGTACACCTCTACATGAGTGTGCTTTATCTATTAAACTACTGAGACTTGGTGAGATTGGAACCTTCCTTGCTAAAGCTGTAGAACCTCCACCATTAGATGCTGTTATTGAAGCACAAGCTATACTTAGACGTAAGTTTACTTTCATTTTATTCAAGCACATGCTAAACTTAGACCCGAGTTTACTTTCATTTTATTCAACCACAAGCTGTATTTAGACCTGAGTTTACTTTCATTTTATCCCATATCAGACGATATCTAGTTTTTCTTGGCTTAATCCATTCTAAAATGTACTTAGATTAATTAACACAGAATTTAAAAAATCACGGTCAAGAGATCTTATAACTACTGAATGGAATTGAGCCATTTTTGGACTGATATTTCTTTGAGAGATTCAACTTTTACATTATTGTAGTTTGTAAGTCAGATGCGTTAATTCTACACTTATAACTCTAATGTACAACAGTTTAAAGGCTCATTATGAGAGATTAGATAAAGAGCTGACACTTCTCGCTATAATAGTTAGAAAATAGATAATGTAAAGAGAATCTAATGAAAATTTCAAATTGCTCCACTCTGAACCAAAATTGAATTTTAAGCCTAGCCTCGATCATCATTACTAAAGTTGGTACGATAAAAAACAAAGTCTCGATTATCCATTTTGATGTTAAATCATCCTTCACAAAATTATTCAAATCCAGTAAATGGCATCAAGAGTTGATTATGGTCTGGATAAGTTAATGTCTAATTAATAATTTAGATAACATTTAAGGCGTAAAGAAAGACCTGCAACAGGCAGAGGAGTACATAATGTATGTTTAATGTCTAATTAATAATTTAGATAACATTTGAGGCCTTAAGAAAGACCTACAATAGGCAGATTTAGCTCTTGTATAATGTATGTTTAATAGAGATGTATATCTATGTATTACAGAAATGAGAGCATTAGATAGTAATGATGAATTAACACCATTAGGTAGAATATTAGCTAGAATGCCTATAGAACCCAGACTGGGTAAAATGATCATCTATGGATGTATATTCTAGTAAGTGTTTTATATAAATTATACTCAGTAAATCAGATATAGAGACTTGATATTTGGTAAAGGAATTGTGTTTGATCATCCATTTAGAATTGTAATCTGCCACTGACAGTTAAATTCACTACAATTGACATTCAGTGATTTGGATGGTTGTTTTTACTGATATGTACTGCAGATATTTACATGTTAAATAGTGGGGGGATTGGATGGCTGAATGGTTATCACGTGCACGCTGTATCAGAAAGTCTGTCATTGAGTCAACTGGCGTGGTTTTGATTCCCTGGATGTACGTGACAAGGAGTAGGGTCGCCTGTCCAACCTCGTGGGGTTTTCTCCGGGTTCTCCGGTTTCCTCCCACTGCTAAAGACCCCTACGCGCAAGTGAATTGTGGAAATAAAATTGAACCATATGTTAGTCCCCAACTGACCTAGTTTGTGTCGAGTGGACATTAAACCCCATTTCTCTCTCTCTCTCTCTGTTTAATAGTATGTTATCTCGAATTTGTGTATCTCAAAATATGTATGGTCAACCTCAGATGAGCATTGTATGGTCAACCTCAGATGAACTTTGAAACAGGACATTGCCAGAAGTCAATCAAGCCACATGTAACAGGAACTGGTCCCAAACGCTACTCATCTTGGGGCGATGCTCTTCGAAAAAAGCGTAAGGCTCAGTCAATTCAAATACGATGGTCATGAAATTTAGCATGCTTGTACCTAGGATAATTGCAGGAGCCATAGTGGCTAAGTAGGTAAGAAGCTGGCTCACTAGCCTGGAGGTTGTGTGTTCGATCCCTCCATTGGCCGAGAAAGTTCATCAGAATTTTCCAACGTGGTTTTCCTTGTCAGTGGTGAAGGACGGAGGGCCCAACAAGGACAGCTGTCTAGTATACATTGGCGTGCATGTAAAAGATCTCTTGGCAGTTGGAATTTGATATAAGTGTAGGCCATAGTGCCACTGCCTGTGCAAAATTTCCCTCACAGCACACTGTATGGCGTATGCCTGTCTTCATTAGCCCAGTATAGGAGCAGAACAGTAGGACGTTAAACCCCCATTTCATTTCATTTCCATGGACAATTGCATATTGATTGACTGACTTTGAATTTTGATATGACATCATGATTCTAACCATCTTGAATTCTTTGTTGCTTTATAATGTCATGCTAGATAGATGTTTGATATATTTACAGTGTGGGTGATGCTATGTGTACCATAGCCGCTAGTACAACCTTTCCAGAACCATTTGTTACTCAGATGGATAGACGAAGATTAGGCTGGGTTCACAAGAATTTGGCTGGTAGTCGGTCCAGTGATCATGTAGCTTTGTTAAATGCTTTTAACATGTGGGAAGAGGCCAGGTAAGACTTTCGTTGTTAAGATTCTGGGGTCTCAGTAACTCAGTGGGTAAGGCTCTGGAATACTAACCTGAAGGTCCCAGATTAAATCCTCAGGATTTTTCTGGCAAGAAAAGCTGCCAGTTTGTTAGTATTAGAGGAAAAACATGTTGCCTTCATCTATTAGTGTTTAATGTCCGCTTTCATCGATGATGATATCGCAAACAGGTTGTCTTATTTTATTATGCTTAGTGGGAAGAAACTGGAGTACCCAGAGTAAACCCACGAGGTTGAGCTGGCACCAGGGGATCAAAACCATGACCGCAAGCCAGAGCTAACCAGCCAGCTAGTGCTCAAAGCTCTAGGCTGCACTTAACAAGTTGGCCATTCCTTTAATTAATATGTTAAAAGAGGGGAGTGGAGGGTGACAAAACTGCCTTAAAAGAGTAGCAGAGGCTGGACAGGCCAGCAGATCTGTGTAGCTGCTGGATCAAATAATGAGGGCAGACTATAATAGATACAGTAAACCTTGCATAAGTCGGATTTGTATAAGTCGGATCTTCGCTCAACTCAGATAAAATCGTTTGGACCCTTTGATCCTGCACGTTTTTCTTATTAAATTTCTGTGCGTAAGTCGAATCTTTGCTTAACTCGGATCAAAATGTTCAGTCCATTTGATCTAATACTGGCTTTTTTCCTTCGCCTAAGTCAGATCGGCAGTATGTTCACAACATGCTGTTAAAAATACAGCCTGGCTAACACCATTGAAATCCAAATACAGGGCAGCGCCCAAATTTGCGCAACTCGACCATATAAGACGAAACGAAATCGGTTCTAATTGGGCTAGGCAAAGCAATAATTGACTGAATTTTCTCAGCTTTTCAACAATTCTAATTTTTCCCCACCCCAGCTTACTTAAATTTCGTTTCGTCTTATATAGCCAAGCCACGTTAATCCGTACGTTCAGCAGTAAAAACTTGCCCAGTAAAATTGACTTGGAACCGATTTTATTTCGACAAGGATTCAATAGGACGGTTACTGAACGTACAGGGCGCTAATGAGACCTACGTTCAGAGCTGAACTAGGATTTCAGCTAATTCGGATCTTCGCGTAACTCAGATAAAATTGGTCAGGTCATTTAGATCCGACTTATGCAAAGTTTACTGTATTTAAAAAAGCTCTGCACAACATCAGTACAAAAACAGATTCTAGGTTGAAATAAGGTGGTTTATTCATCTTAACGTTTCGGGATAAAAAAAACTTGTATCAAATTTTACGTGTATTTGTATATTATATTATTATATTGTAGATGTGGAGGTGAAGACAGTGAAATGTATTTCTGTGATCAGAAATCTCTTTCTATGACAACATTACGTATGACCTGTGAAGCTAAGGTACACCATCTTATCTACTGCTTATATTAGCAGGTTGTAAATATACCAGAAACATACTTGATACATTTGTATCGAGTTGACAGTTGGAAATAAAAATTGTTGATCTTTCCGCTTGTAGACGTGATGAATGTTAACAGGCCGTAGCTAGCCCAAAAATGTTAGGGCCTCAAGGGCTTCTGGGGGTGCTGATGTACCTACATGAATGTTAACAGGCCTGTAGCTAGCCCAAAAATGTTAGGGGTCAAGGGCTTCTGGGGGTGCCAATGTACCTACACTTGACGGTCCACGGCGAACAGCACAGTGGACACACCTCCCTTCAGAGAAGGGTCCAGGGTGTTCTCTCCCAGAAAGTTTTGAAAATATATAACAACATCTCGTCGTGGGCGCCCAGCAAATGTCCCTCAGCTTTATGGGCACGTTGGTCATTGGCTTTGTGGAAAGGGCGCATTCGGCACTCGCTGAAGCTGCCAATTTTTTCCAGCTGCCCCCCTCCCCGCTAGCTACGGACCTGATGTTAATAACTCTATGTATATTTGTTTATGTTTTTCAGAATCAGTTACGTGATATTTTAATTAATGTTGGTTTCCCTGAAGATTCTTTGTTAGCTCAACCATTTAATTTTACTGGTCCTGATAATAGACTTGATGTTGTAAGTATTACCATCTTCTACACCTTAATCCGTCATTTGTGTTTCAAGAGTTTTTGTTTTTGTCCTTAACTTTTTCGGAACAAAACTGTACGCACTTTAATGTGTGCGCCTTTCAGCAGAAATAAGAAATGATATTATATGAAGGGCTTGTCAAATTTGATAGAAAAGTATTGTGGATCTGTGTATCTAAGCTCATACACATCATCTGTAACCACCTTTATATAGCTGGGAATCTTGGTTAAGATATCAGATACAGTGTCAGTGATAAGGCCTGTTATCTAGGCCTCCGTTTGTATGTGACAAGGAGTAGGGTTGTTTGTCTAACCGTGCGTTTTCTCAGGGTCCTTCGGTTTCCTGTCACTGCTGAAGGGGGGGGGGGGGTCGAATGGTTAGCATGTGCGTGCTGTATCATAAGGCCTGTCATTGAGTCAACTGGCGTGGTTTCGAATCCCTGGTTGTACGTGACAAGGAGTAGGGTCGCCTGTCCAGCCTCGTGGGTTTTCTCCGGGTCCTCTGGTTTCCTCCCACTGCTAAAAACTTGAATGCGCAAGTGAATTATTGTAATGAAATTGAAGCATATGTTAGTCCCGAAATGACCTAGTTTGTGTCCAGTGGATGTTAAACCCCATTTCTCTCTCTCACTGCTGAAGACTCCTAGGTGCAAGCAAATTATTGAAATAAAATTGAACCATTTGTTAGTCCTGAAATGACCTAGTTTGTGTCCAGTGGGCGTTAAACTCTTACTCCCACTCAGCTTACTCCCTCTCTCTCTCTGCTTACTACCATATGTAATTCAAGGAGACTTCACAACATGTTAATTTTATTTAATTTTTTAGGTGATAACATTATTAGCAATGGGTCTGTATCCTAATGTCTGCTATCATAAAGAAAAGAGAAAAGTTTTAACACAAGAATCTAAAGCTGCTTTAGTCAACAAATCATCTGTTAACTGTAGTAATCAAGATATCAAATTTCCATCACCCTTCTTTATTTTTGGAGAAAAGGTAATTCAATATATTTTGTATATATGTAAGACGTAGCACATTGTTATAATGATGACTATAAAGACAGTAGTTATCAGATCGGGTGTTAATTATGGTGTTTCATTCAGGAGAACAAGGTCTGGACATTAGGCACATATATTATACAAACCTGGACACATTGACTGAAAAGTTCATCCAGATATTCCGGCATGGTTCCCCCTTTGTCAGTGATACAGGATGGAAGGCCTGACAAGGACAGCTCTCTAGTTATTCGCATGGAACGGAAAAATGAGGTCCCTTGTACACACTTTGCACGTAAAAAATCCCTTGACAGTTGGAATTCGATGTAAGAGTAGGCCGTAGTGCCGCTGTCCGGGCAAATTTCCCTCATCTAGAGCACACCGTATGGCGTATGCCTGTCTTCATTAGCCCAGTTCGGAGCAGAACAGTAGGATGTTAAACCCCATTTCATTTAATTTAATTTTCAAACCTGCACCGGTGCCTTATGTGCTGGCTTGGAAAGGGGCATGAACATTCTACTTGCAGTAACGCGACATCACTTCCTATACTATAAATGGGGCTACCATATGCATATGATATATTTATTGCACATGATTCTAGAACAGTAGTTCAAATAGCAACATTGTTTTAATCCATATTAATCGTAAATGTAAAATGAATAATTTGAACATTTTATTCAAATTATTGCGAGCAAAGATATTAGCCTTTGAAGGTTTGACAAGACGTGTGCAATAATTTCAACCACCATACTGGTTATTCAGAGCTAAGTCTCACTCCTCCATTTTAAATTAAATCAAAATATGGCTGAACCGTTCTAATCTATTTAATATCAGAGAAATCTGATGCCATTGAGAGTTGATTATGTCCTGGATCAGTTAAACATGCATTATTCAAGAGCTAAATCTGCCTATTTCAGGTCTTTCTTTAGGCCCGAAATGTTATCTAAATTATAAATTAGACATTAATTAAAGATACATTATGGGAGATTCGGTAACGAGTTATTGTATGTTCTAAAATTGTCTGGTATTTATATTTTTTTTCTGATATAGATAAGAACAAGAGCCGTATCATGTAAACAGATGACAATGGTTACACCATTACAGTTGTTATTATTTGGTGCTAGAAATGTTACATCTCAAAATGAACTTATTGTCCTTGATGGCTGGTATGTTTCATTTATAGCAAACTTTAAAAGATCCACCTTGTCTCATGGAGTAACACATTGGCGTCACTTCTGGGATTCCATCATGTGGTCTTCTAATATCAGTGACAGATGGCTCGGCTGAAGAACACTGTTCTTGTCATTCATAGGTTTATGCATATAAAAAGATCCCTTGTCAGTTTAAATTCGTTAAAGTGTAGGTGTTTTCCCATCTTCATTATCCCAGTTGGTGTAACCATGGTGGTTCTAACGGAAGTAAACTCATAGGTTTATTTGGCCTATTGCCTAAAACCTTGATTTATAAATCCGAGCTAACTTGGTTTCATTTGTCAGTGGTGCAGGATGCAACAAAAAAACCTGGATTGCCTGTATACTCTGACATGTTGGAATTTGATGAAAATGTAAAATTTCGCTGAAAGCACACTGCATGGCATATGCCAGTCTTCATTAGCTAGCGTGGTGCATTATGGAAAATCTTATGTTAAATCTCATTTTATTAACAGAAACAAATGAAGAGCCCAGGGAAAGAATGATCTTAGTCACTTTTTCCATGAACCTCAGTTGTAGCAATTTGTATAAGCTTTCCATGGAACAATCGACTTCAGATAAAAACGATCTGAGTAACATCAAACCAGGGCCCTTCTGAAATGGCCCCCAGGTCAAATACATATCCATGATACCTTTTATTTCACCTAAATTAGACTGAAATGTTGGAAGTCAGCTATTCTGGTAATTATGGGTCGTATTAAACATCATTTTGAAGTTGTTATTAAACCCACTCGTCGTTCTGTTCGTGTCAAGCATTCTCATGCAAAAGTTTGTTTTGCGTTTTATGCTAAAAGACAAAAATTGACTTACATGTAGATCGTTCTTCCCCTGAGCTCTTCAAATGGCTTCTCGTGGTTTCGAATCCCTGGTTGTACGTGACAAGGAGTAGGGTCGCCTGTCTAACCTCATGGGTTTTCTCCGGGTCCTCCGGTTTCCTCCCACTGCTAAAGACACCTACGCGCAAGCGAATTATTGAAATAAAATTAAAAACCATGTGTTAGTCCCGAAATGACCTAGTTTGTGTCGAGTGGACGTTAAACCCCATTTCTCTCTCTCTCTCAAATGGCTTCTATTCACAGTGCTTAATAATCTGTTTTCTCTCTTTCAATCAGGATAAATTTAAAGATGGATTTTAATCTGGCAGCAAAGGTGGTAGCTTTACGACCAGCATTAGAGGCTTTGATTGTTCGAGCTACAAAGGAACCCGAGGGAATCAATGAACCTGGTGAACAGGAAGAATCTCTGTTAGGAATTGTACGGGTATTATCCAGGCCCAATGCTGGTAGATTTGGTCTTCAAAATGAGGGGTACGTATTTTAACGCAGGTCATATACAGTGCACTCTGTCACATCCGACCTCTAATAACTCCGGCACTCTGTGAAATCTGACACCATTTCATGTCCCGATTTATTTCCTTATTACTTCATCCAAAAAATCTCTGGGTAATTCGACCTCTGATATTCCAGATTACGACATCAATCAGCCGTCCCGTCATATGATTTCCATTGAATTGACACCGTATAATCCGGCCTTCAATCGGTAGGTGTGAAGCAAACACTCACCAATCAATTATCGGTGAGATTAAAACTCGATGGGCGTGAAATCACAAAAGATTAACAAGCAATCACCAATCAATTATCTGTGAGATTAAAACTCGCTACCGTGGGTCTTTGTTGATTACTTTGATAATTTTAATCTCTTGTACGACAGTTGTGACAAATACTCAAGAATATCCACGAATTTTGCCCCGAATTCAGTCGTAAAAATATTCCTAGCACCTGTTGGAAATATTCGTTGCGCATGCCGATTGAACCTGAATAACCTGTAAGTTTGGTCACCCTACGGATCTCTTCGAACCTATGACGACGACCTGAGGATGCTCAATTCACAGTCCGGAGCGCCCCGAATTGACAGAATTGCAATTGAGAGACGCGGAATTCAGTCCTGTCACAGTTCTGTCAGTCGATTGTCACTATTTTTGGGATTGAGAGAATTTAATTCCGGATCGTTCAATCGAGTACGCCCATTATCAATGAACACGTGATAGCAAAGACAAGAGTGCAATCAACTGAAGACGGCAAAGAAGATAAATTAACGACAGACTTGACCTATTCAAAATGCCTACGCATGTTAAATGAAATAAAAATTAATGTTATAAAATTTTGAATGTACAGAAAGGTTTATCACTTTTAAAGGGAATGACATTCTGGTGATTCGAAGCTACATTATAATAATACTTCTGGTTTTCTAAGTTTTGAGAAAACTGGATATTCCGACACTCGGCGTAATCCGACACATTGTAACGATCCCGTACGATGTCGGATTTGACAGAGTCCACTGTATTGCTATCTACCCTCTCTGTCTACAGTTTCTTATTTACCCTTATTTAGCAATTGATACATGTCAATATTAACGTCTCCGACCAGGTTCCTTAAAAATAATTAAGGAAAAGTTAACATATCATACCGGTATATTCCCCAATTGGTCAAAACTATCCCAAACTATTACTCCCTTGTCTGTCTGAAACCACCCTAGTCATAGAAATAATTTTCCAAATTGTAGGAATCAGGTGGTTTGAGGGGTCAGGTCTAAATATTAAGGCCACCAGCAGATTTTGTCAAGGTCACAAGATGTATACAGGTCTAGCATTAACTCTAACCCTAGACCTAACCCAAACCCACAATCCTGGGCAACAATTACATGCCTGTGTACACCTCGTGACCTTGACAATCTACAGGTGGCCTTAATATTTAGATCTGACCATTGTTTACCAGACTCGAAGGAGCACAAGTTTTGGGTGGTCAAAGTGCTAAGTGTTCAAAACTTTAGCTAGGGACTACAAATATCTGATATTTTCTCAGTTTTACCGGGTGGCTATTAACTATGTGAAGAAAAGAGCCTGGCCTATTTATTTTCAGCGATTTCTGAAATTGATTTTCAGAGTTCTGCCTTTGTGACAAATCATTAGCCCAGTTGGTGCAGAAAGTAGGACACTAAACCCCATTTCATTTGTGTCGAATCTTTGTTGACACTTGATAATTTATTTGAAATTTGTACTGCGTGATTGCAGGGCTGTCGGTAATTTTGTACAGATGATCAGCAGCACTGCTAATCAGAAAGTCAAATTTTGCCAGATTTGACTAGCAAATTTAAAAATTGATTAGCAGTTTTTCGGTTTCAACATAAAACACCTAAATAACAAGATTACTTTAATTTATAAAAAATGATTAGATTTCATTCTTAAGATTTTTTAGAATTGTAGCACTGCTACAGGTAGCTGTGAACATTTCTGAATGTAGACTTTTGGTTATGTCTGAAGCCAATTCTTGGCAGTGGCTTCTGAAGTCCCACTCATTTTAATTCTTATTTCTTCGTTAGAAAACAATTTTGTCTGCTTTTTATCGTGTGTTACTATTTTTTTTCAATCGGACGCACACAGTTTTATACGAATAATCTCGATTAACTAGACGCACGGGATATAAACAATAATATTTTACGGGAATTCTTACTTTGATTTCTCATTTTACGATACGTTTACATGTATTTTTTTTTTATATTTTATTGACAATACTTGGGGAATACACTGAATTTATATTGTTCAAATTGAATACTGATATAATTACTTGAAATTGTCATGTCTTGCAACTTGAGTGGTACTACTTGATTCCCTAGTTCCGGTTTAATAGTCCCAATTCATAGAGTTATGTCCCTGTATTATATATTATAATGAATTGAGTCTGGGTAGTTCGACAAGAAAGTTTTGCTTATAAAATTTAATTGGTATTTTACACACGTTGAAAGTGTCGAGAAATGTGGATAAATCTTTGTGTCAATATCCAAAATGACAGGCATATTAATGATTCGCAGTTACTGCAAATCAAAAACGTTAGATTTTAATTTTTGTATAGCAACGGACAAAATATGTATCGCAAATTGCGCTGTGATACTGGTTGTCGGCAGCCCTGCGTGATTGTGTGGACAGCTTTGTACTTGGACAAAGAGAAAATTCAATACTATGACGACATATCTAATATCATTTATTTCTTTTTCAGCTATAATCCAAATCAGGGCCGTGGGGCGAAAGTACCAAGAATGGGAGGATACGGCGACCGAGGAGGAGGTAGTGGAGGATACGGTGGACGGGGAGGGGGATTTCGTGGTGGATATGGGGGAGGAGGAGGTGGATACCGAGGAGGGTATGGGGGTGGTGGAGGGGGTTATAGAGGCCGTGGAGGAGGTGGTTATGGGAGTGGGGGCAGAGGGGGTTATGGGGGAGGGGGTTATGGGGGTGGGGGTGGATATAGAGGAGGGTATTAGATTTATGTGTTGTACTTCTATCCATATCCTTAAAGGGCATATTTTAATTGTTAAAATTGCATTTTATGTCTCTTAGTTTTAGGGTTCTTTGAGTAAGCCAAAAATTCACAAAAGTTTGGATATTTGTTGATGTAAATATTTAAAAATCAGTTTCCATGTTCTGATATAAATGTAGTAAAATGTTACTGTAAATTGTTTGTATTTGATCATGTCTGTCACACATTTTACATTACAATTCAAATTTATATCAATAACCTTCAAAGATCTTATGAGAAATATTAAAATCAGAAGAATTTGATTTTGAAGCACATGTGGGGGGGGGGGGGGGGTTAGTGGCCAAATGGTTAGCATGTGAGCGCTTGATCATAAGGCCTGTCATTGAGTCAACTGACATGGGTTCGAATCCCTGGGTCCCCCGGTTTCCTCTACACACAAGCGAATTATTGAAATAAAATTAAACCATATATTTGTCCCAAAATGACCTAGTTTGTGTCAAGTGGACATTAACCCCATTTCACTCTCTTGTATCATGGAAACCATTGTCAGGAACTTTTACATTGTATTCTTATTATTTGTGTTGATGAAATTATGATTAAGATCACCATTTCAAATTGCCCGTCTTCATTAGCCCAGTTGGAGCAGGACATTCAACCCTATTCATTTCATTCACCATTTCAAATTGTGTTTAAAAACACTACGCGGATCTGGTTTTCAATTGAACTTTCTTGAATTGAATTTTCTCAATCCCTCGAAAGATGTCATTCTCGTATAAACACAGGGCATGTCTTTAAAACTTACGATGATTGATCGGAGCAAATGTATGTAGTGTTTTCTTTTTTTTTTTTTTAACAAAATATCTTTTTATTGTAAATACACAGTAACTTCACCTTAGTGCTGTTTGTTAAGAGAAGGGGATTGGCATTGTTCCTGATCCGTGTTATAATTAAACCCTTGTGTAATATACAAGGGACTCACTGTAATGTGGGTGTAGTCAGTGTGCAATGTACACCTAGATGACAGTGTAATTAACGGGTTGAAAAATTACCTGTCAGTCAATTTATAAACTTGTTATAAAATTAGATATTTCAAAGAATTTAACCTTAGTTCATAAGTTTATCTGTAAATGTACTGAATAATTTTTATTTTAAAAAAAAAAGGAGATAATGCTAAATATTGTCAAATTCTTTGCAAAATAATTCATCCAGATTTTCCGGCGTGATTTCCCCTTGTCAGTGATGCAGGACGGAGGGCCTGACAAGGACAGCTGTCTAGTCGTTCGGATGGGACGAAAAATCGAGGTCCCGTGTACACATTGGCGTGCACGTAAAAGATCCCTTGGCAGTTGGAATTCGATATAAGAGTAGGCCATAGTGCCGCTGCCCGGGCAAAATTTCCCTCATAGCACACTGTGCGGCGTATGCCCATCTTCATTAGCCCAGTTCAGAGCAGAACAGTAGGACGTTAAACCCCATTTCATTTCATTTCATTTCATTTTTGCAAAATAATGCTTGCTGATCTGATGTCGAAAATTGAAGTGAAGCCATGCCATAAAACCTCGGTGTTATTGTTATTATTCAAATTATTGCTTTATCATTTTGCTATGAAATCATTTTTTATAAAATCATGTTGATGGTTGTGTTATTAAATATCGTAGACACAGTTCTGGTCGTTTGTTGTTGGCAATGATACTCTGGTTAAATAGAGGTTTGGGTTAGTGAATGGTCTGAAACATATGAGCCATGGTGGTTGAGCGATGAGATTGCTAGACTCCCAGTTGGAATGTCCCTGTGTGAGCTTGTCCGGGGTAGTGTCTATAGGTTACCATAGAAAAAATAAAACATCCCTACATAAGTCTGAAAAGAACCAAAGTATCTTATCCCTATAGTCACTAGTCGGGGGTAGGGTGCAAGCAAACATACCAAGGCACTGTGCTAATGAAGACGGGCATACGCCCAGAGGCGTAGCCGTGAAATATATATTGGGGGGGGGGGGCAACCCTAACCCTTTTTTAAAACCCCTAAAAAATATAAACAAACACCATGTGGCCATGCTGTCTACACAACTCGTTTGCTCATTGGCCCAGACACCGCGTACAAAGTATTATTATTACGTGGGTGGCTGAGTGGGCGATAAATATTTGGTTTAGGCGATAATGTTTTTGGGTACCTACATGCGATTCACTCTGATAAGTGGCAGAAAAAAGTTAACAAAATATTACTGACAGGCTAACTAGACACAATTTTATGGAACACAGGTACTTTTCACTTCACACATGTTTCCAGGATGATTCTCTCTCTGTTTTATTTTAGCAATGTAAACCTTATTGGGATATGTACAGGTTTTATACACATAGAATGTTAACTAATTTTAATAGTAGAAGTTTGGAACTACTATTAAAATTTTGGGGGGGTCCAAGTATATTCAGACCCCCCTCCCCCCCAGAAAATCAGTTGGGGGGGGTCGGACCTCCCCCCCCCCCCATGTGTGACGCCCATGCATATGCCATACAGTGTGCTATAAGGGAAATTTTGCCTGGACAGTGGCGCTACAGCTTACTCTTACTCTGAATTTTAACTGCAGCAGGATCTTTTACGTGCATGGCAATGAGTAACAGGACCTTGGGGTTTTTTTTGTCCCATCCAAATGAATATAGGTTGTGCTGTGCCAGGCCCTCGATCCTGGACCACTGACAAGGAAGAACCATGCCAAAAAAAAATTGATGAACTTTCTCGCCCAATACAAAGATAAACATGTGACATCCAGGTTAGCAACCGAACCAACGTCTTACTGAGCCACTATGGCTTTCCAAGGCAATGAAGACAAGTATAGATGGAAAATATTTTCAGTAGAAAATACATATCTATGGTCTCAAGATATTCAACTCTTTCCTCTTAATTCCCATTAGGATGAAGAATTTGTCCATTCCCATTGATTGAGGCCCTGGCAAGAAAAATTAAGTGTCTAGTCATATGGATGGTACAAAAACCAAAGGCCTCTAAACGTACACCATTGGCAGTAGCCTACCTTTAAAGATCCCTGGAAATGGAAATAATACCAAAGGCTGTCCTGGCAAAATGTCCCTCGTAGAACACTGCATGGCGTATGCCTGTCTTCATAAGCCCAGTTGGTGTAGAAAAGTATAATATGATGTTAAATTTCGTTTACATGTATATCAGGAAGTTGGAGACTTTGCGAATCTGATGGGTTTCGACTTTGCACAAATGAAATAAAGATATATGTTACATCTTTATCCAGATTTTTCATCTGTATTTTTCCCTGTCCAGAGATTTATTTTTGGGTCATATCTATGTAATACGCCTGTCATTTTTGTGTATCATTTATTCTGTCTGGTGCCAACCAGCTTTTAATTTTAGATTTGCCTCCCTTCATAAACATTTCCCAAATAAATATTTTTATCCAGAAAATAAAACCAGTCCACCATCTGTTGGTCATTTTAAATATTAATAACTTGACATACATACATACATATAAGTAATAACTGGTTCAAACTATTAAAGTTCCGTCAATTCCTGCTTTACACGAAACACGTTCTTTAGCGCACGTGACTGAAAATAAAAGTAGAGAATCAGCTGACTGGTGATTATAGAGATTGACAGGTGGCGTTGATTTCCTGAGAGATATTCCGGCGGTGTCAGATAAAACTTACAAATACAGGAGACTGAACACAGAAATTTAAAAAAAAGAAATCTATAATGAATGCAAGTTAATTATTAAAAGGAAAATAACAACATTGGCTATAGACAGTTGAATGTGATACCGCTGGGAGCAGGCCAGATAATTTGTACGTTTTTATTTTATAAAGGTAGGCACTTTATATATTTTGTGTCATCCCCTTTTCGGATCCACCGAAAGTTCGAAATATCAGGCCTCTCGAGTACTCCTAATACAGGTAACATTTTGTGAAAGATGTCGGGCAAGAACTCGGCCCTCGGCGTCTCTTGTGCCATGTGGAAAGTATTTATCAAGAGGCCATAAGAGGTCAGATATTTTAGACCATTGATCAACCTTATTTATAAGTATTTTTGATTAGCCTAGTTATTCGAAATCAATAACATTTCTTTTATAAAATATAATATTATTGACAATAATTCTTGTTCAATTATAAGTGTTGACTTTTAGGTTTGGATGTAAACAAGGTATGTTTCATTTTAAACGGGCATTTATAAGACCTTGGGGAAAATAATGATTGTCACTTGTTAATTATGGACATAATGTCCTCCACTATTCAATTAGCACCTGATATTTTTTACTTGGTGCCAGAGAATTGCTGAAATAAAATTGAACCAATTGTTTAATTGTCCCGAAATGACCTAGTTTGTGTTGAGTGGGTGTTAATCTCATTCCCTCTCTCTCTCTCTCAGCTTACTGCCATACTCTCTCTCTCTCTCTCTCTCTCTTTCTCTCTTTCTCTTTTCATGATCTTCATGATCTTCAATCACTAATGTCTCTTTAAAGCAATTTAAAACATCAATTGCCAGAAGACCAAAGTAGGTTCAGGGCAATTTCATAATTAATTGAGTTTTAGTGGACCAAAACATTTCATGGTAATAAACTGCCAGATACCCACTTGACTCAATGACAAACCTTCCAATCTAACACGCAAGCCTTAACTATTCGGCCAACCAAACCCCTGCGGGGGTTATATGCTGAATTGATGTTGCCAAAAGGTAATGGACTTAATAACACACTCATATGAAGGGAGGTAACAAGAATGTATCAGTAAATGATTGACAACTCTTATTGTGAGATGGGGGTGGGGGGTGGATGGCCAAATGGTTAGTATGTGCGTGCTGTATCATAAGGTCTGCCATTGAGTCTGCTGGCAGGGTTTCGATTCCCCGATTGTACATGAAATAGAGTAGGGTCGCCTGTCCAACTTCGTGGGTTTTCTCTGGGTCCTCCGGTTTCCTCCCACTGCTAAAGACCCCTACACGTAAGTGAATTATTGAAATAAAATTAAACCATGTGTTAGTCCTGGAATGACCTAGTTTGTGTTGAGTGGACTTAAACCACTCCTCTCTCCCTCTCTCTCTGTTGTGAGATGCCTGAGAGACTTATTGACAATGTCACACCATTGGGCAAGTTTTAATCATACTGACTTTCTTCCCAGTAGTTAAAACATTTTGTTTTTAATCATTTTTTTATCAGCATTACGGTACCTTTGAGTTTAAAGCTTTGTACTTGACCACCCCAACTGTTTATTAAGAGTAATAATATGTCTAAAAGTATGTGTTTATATATAATATATAAATCTATAGACTGATTTGTATGGTACATCTGTTGTAGGCAGCTATGCAATAATATGAAGTATAACGCAATGACTTCATCAGTAGATCTTGTTATAAATGATTGTTATAATTGTGATTTGTTGGGGATTTGAGTCACCCAGCTCTACCAACTAGTCTAATGGGTTTAACTGGTCTTGGGTCCACTGATTAATTGTGAGTTGGATCATAACGCAGAGAAACATGAGTCCCTCAACTCAGACCCGAATCTGACTTAAGTCGCATCGGAAAGAGCTTAGGCTCGAGTAAATGCGAGGGGGCATAAATCTAACTTACCATATTCACCATGAATTGCTGACTCATTTGATTAACTGGCAACTTGAACAGGGCGTGGGCTTAGTGAAGATTTGGGAAAGAACTTAGAACTCGAGTCGTGGTGAGGGGGCATAACTTAAATTACCTTATTTGCTATGAATTGCTGACTCATTTGATGAACTGCCAACTTGAAAGGACTCACGTTTTGTGAAGACTTGAGACTCGACTCAACTAGAACTCGAGGTGCTGCAACTTGGGACTCGACTCGGACTCGAGTTCCTGTGACTTGTCCCTAACTCTGTCATATGGCGTGTAATCTATTTTTAACAAAACATCGCTCACAAGATCTTGAAGAACTCAAAATTAATTGGCTTGGCCTTTAAGATGAGAATAATTAAATGGTTCTTACGTATTTAAGGTGATTGACTCACGAAATTAAATAGTAATCAGATTCATCAATTTTCGAGAGCAAAAAAAAAAAAGATTTGTTGAAACCCTCATAAAAATGTCAAACTTATTTTGTCAATACAATATATCAACTGGTAATCAATTTTCGAGAGCAAAAAAAAAAATTAAATTCATCAATTTTCGAGAGCAAAAAAAAAAAAGATTTGTTGAAACCCTCATAAAAATGTCAAACTTATTTTGTCAATACAATATATCAACTGGTAATCTGAGTTTTATGATATTTATACATTTGACTTGTCAAAAAAAAAAAGATTTATTTTCATTTACATTAATGTACTAGAAACCTGTATATTGTTCAATAATCATAAATCACCTGTTTGGTAGGTAAAAATACTGACGTATTAGCCTTACGCTCTGTGTACCCATTAATCATATCTAAACGAAATTGACTCAAGTGAGCCTCTCAACAGTTTATGTAACTTCAGGTCAATACGCCTTTTTGAAGAGTTTGTTTCATCTTTTGATATAGGTAAAACATTTGTTGATCTTTGTACATGCAGGTGATTAATTGATGTAAAAACTGTTTTAAAATGATCAAATTTTATGATTAATCTGTGTTTTTTTGCGAAAAACAAAACTATTAAATTTGCTAGGATGTCAAACATACAGTTACTGTGTGTTTTGTATATTTCTATTCAATTAAAGCCCACTGAATTGAGATGCTAAAATTACAATTATTAATACTGAAAAAAGGAGGGGGGTAGGTTGGGGTGGATGGCCTAATGGTTAGCGTGTGCACGTTGTATCATAAGATCTGTCATTGAGTCAGCTGGCGTTGTTTCGGTTCCCCGGTTGTAAGTGACAAGGAGTAGGGTTACCTGTCCAACCTCGTAGGTTTTCTCCGGGTCCTCTGGTTTCCTCCCACCGCTAAAGACCCGTACGTGCAAGTGAATTATTGAAATGAAATTGAACCATATGTTAGTCCCGAAATACATCTCCATTTTTAAATTAAATCATTAAATGGCCAAACCATTCTAATCTACTTAAAATCAGAGCCATCTGATGACATCGAGAGATGATTATGATCTGGATAAGTTAATTAAGGTCTAATTAATCATTTATATAACATTTAAGACCTAAAGGAAGACCTGCAATAGGCAGATTTAGCTCTTGAATAATGCCTCTTTAAGATTTGTCAGGAACAGGTAAATGTCAGGAACAGGTAAAATCATTATTACTAGGACTGATCATGGCTTCCATCATTGCCTTAGCACCAACTGGAAATAATCTCGAAGTAACTTGAGCAGTTAATTATCAAGTGGCCGAATTCAACAATTCCAAAACCTTAATAATTGATTCTAAATATTGACATAGATTGTTTAAACAATATTATGTTAAAGTTCATGGCTGTTGTATGTTTCAACTCTCTGTGTCTCTCTCTATAGCCTTGTCCTACTTACCTTCGTGAAAAACCTGTTATATAAATAAGAAAATGTTAGATCTTTAATATCATCAGATACAAGAACCCTCAAGCTCAATTTAATGATATTAAAATATATTTACTTTATATACCAGTACATTTATATGTTTACGACTAAATACGCATTTAAATATGACCTTTTAACAAGTCTACCAGGCATCCTCTTAAAGAAATTATAATAACGAATTGGTACATGCATACTGAATCGATTCAGTGCTGTTGTTTTTATTGGACAGAAAACACATTCATTTGTTAATGATGAAGTTCAGTGACATTTAGTGGGGTTGGGTGGATCACAAGGTTTGTCATTGAGTAATTTGGCGTGGTTTCGATTCCGTGCTTGTACATGACAAGGAGTAGGGTCGCCTGTCCAACCTTGTGCATTTTCTCTGGGTCCTCAGGTTTCCTCCCACTGCGATAGTTCCCAACTCGTAAGCGAATTATTAAAAAAATCGAAACCTATGTTAGTCCTGAAATGACCTAGTTTGTGTTAGAGGGTTTTGAATCCCATCTCACAAGGTCTGTCATTTAGTTAAGTTGTGTGGTTTCAATTCCCTGCTTGAACGTGACTAGTAAGGTCGCCTGTCCAACCTTGTGGGTTTTCTTCAGGTCCTCTGGTTTCCTCCCACTGCTAAATTCCCCTATGTGCAAGTGAATTATTGAAATAAAACTGAACAGTAGCAATGACAATATTGGTGTTAGCAAGGAATTAAAAATCACTTTGCTGATGATTAGCAGCTTAAAAACGTTTTGGCTTCATTTGATTTATAGATGAATGAATTGGCTCTAGTGATGTATGGATCTTGCATGAAGTAGCAGGTTTTGTGCAAGATGGAGTTTGTGCTTACTCTGTTAGAACATTAGATATCACTTCTGATTTATTATTCAACAATTGTTGGTGTTGACCTAGCAAGTTCATCTGGTTTTTCCGGTGGGGTTTCCCCTTGTCATTGGTGCAGGACAAGGGGGCCTGACAAGGACAGCTGTCTAGTCGTTTGGATGGGACAAAAAACTGAGGTCCCGTGTCAACATGGCGTACACATAAAAGATCCCTTGGCAGTTGGAATTCAATATAAGAGTAGGCCGTTGCGCTGTCAGGACAAAATTTCTCTCATAGCACACTGTATGCCATGTGCACATCTTCATTAACTCATTCGGAGTTGAACAGTAGGACGTTAAACCCCATTTCATTTCATTTATTCAACAATTGTTGGTGTGTAGGATTGGTGTTATTCAAGATTGTAATGGATGCCTACTCTTTCTAGAACATCTAATGTCACTTCATGTTTGAGTTTACATTAGCTATCAATTGTTGTTGGTTTGATTAAAGATGCTCACTAAGGACTCTCTTCTTCCTCTTCTTCTTCTTCCAGT